TTGTTAACCTGAGAAAATAAAAAAGTTTTTTATAATCAAATTAAATAATAAAACAGAACCAGGTGCTGAACACTGAAGGATCTTTAGATTTTCAAAATAAAACGTCTTTTAGACTCTGGTCTGTTTGGATCAGAGTCTGAACGAGATGTTATTTTAAAATCAGATTCTCTTTAAATAAATGAAGTAAATTAGTAAAAATTACTGTCCACTGTGTCCCGGTACCAAACAACCTATGGACTGGTCCTGGTCCTCGGACCAGGGGTTGGGAACCCTGAGATCGTGTCTTCAGTCCAGGTTCTGACTGGAGACACGATCGTGACTAATCCGATCTGTCCGACCGTCGGACGCCACAGGAAGGGCCGCTGTGTGTATGTTTGGAAGTCGTCTCCGTGCCGTAAATGGAACAGGCCACTTACGTCTGACACACACACACACACACACACACACACACACACACATTTTTTCACTCACATTCACGCAGGAAGTCGTCTTTTTCTTTTAACGTTAATGTGAGGATTGAAGAGCTCACACACACACACACACACACACACACACACACACACACTCCATCACTGAGACACTGCGACTACTGTGGGGGGGGGGGGGGGGGGCGACCAGGGGGAACAGCCCTCCAAATATAGCCCCCTGTATGTGCCCTCGTGCAGTTATTAAGAGATTTACACCCCCACATCAGGGTGAGGTCAGCGGAGCGATACGTCCCGTGCCCCCCCCACCCCCTCACCCCCCCCGACGGACAGGACGGTCTGTTGTTCTGAAGTGTTGATAAAACCACAGTCACTGTTTAGTGTCGCTGCTCATGGTGGCCAGTAGGGGTGTTGGTGAGCTGTGGGGGGGGGGGCGGGGGTCAAATGTTGTATTTGAACACAGCCTGGAGCTCATTAACACGAGGCCCTGCGCTGCCGTTAACACCGCTGGTGGACTGGTGAACTGCGAGGCGGCAAACTACTTCCCTTTTTTTTTTTTTTTTTTTTTTTTTCTCCTCCAGCCTCATCAAAACTTTGCCTTTTTTATTTTGTACTTAACGGATATAAAACGTTTGCTAGCAGACGAGTCGATGTTTTTGGATGTTTGTTTTTTTTTTACTTTACTTTGTTGCCAGTCTTTTAAACTGCATGCAGAGCCTTATAAACCAGGGGTGTCAAACATACGGCGCGTGGACCAAAATCAGCCCACTAGATGAATTTTGAAAGTAAAAAAAAAAAAAACATCACTGACGATAAAAAGATTTTGTGTCAGTGATGTTTTTTCAAATGATATTTCATTAAAACATGAATGTTTTTCTCATACACTTCTTTGCATGAAAACAAAGGGTGAAAAAAAACATAACTTTAACATAACTTTTTTGTCATTTAGAGGTAATAATGTTGTAGTTGTGCTGGTCTGGCTGCTATAGGTCGACTGTGGTTATAGAGTTACAGAGTTGATTTTCTTTATGGTGAAAACATCTGCCTCTCGGTCTGTAGATCAAACGGACTTTTCTCCATCAGAGAACATGTGTCCTCAAGTCAAAGCTGGTGTTGATAGCCTCTCTTTGGTCAGTTGACCCTGATCGTGGCCACCGCTCGTCCGCCTCGACCAACATTTGACTTCTATCCACTCTACAAAGCCGGGGGGCCAAAGGGGTTCGAGCGCTGCACGCCGGCCCCATTTGAGGAGGGGTTTCTGTGGTCGGATGAATATTTAATGTGTCAGGGTGCACTTAGGAGAGAACGCTCTTGTTTTTCTCTCTATGATATCATAACCACAAGATAGAGCTGGGAGACAGGGGCCGACGCACACATGAGGCCGGAGGAGGAACGAACGCCGAGGGCTGTAGATTTACTAGCCTCCTAGCGGTGCGGCGGTCGCATCATCTGAAAGCATTATGGAAGTCTAGGAAGAACAAATAAAAAGCCCGATATAAAAGCTCTGGTTTTAACGCTGCAGTGAGAAGGCTGCGTTTTTAAGAACTGGGTGGGTCGCTCTTTGTCCCACTTTGTTTTTGTGCGAGTGTGTAAGTGTCAGCGTCAGTGTCAGTGTCAGTGTCAGTGTCTGTGTCTGTCGATTTCCTGCATGTGTTACATCGTTGCTGCAGAACTGGGTGCTGTCGTCGCCTCGTGTCCCCCCCCCCGCTCCCCCGTTACATTCTGCTTGGTGTTGCATTTTTTTTTCTTTCTTTTTCTTGACATGACAACATGAGATCGTAGCCGAGGTTCTAGGTTCTAGACCAGGGGTGTCAAACATACAGCCCGCGGGCCAAAACCGGCCCGCTAGAGGGTTCAATCCGGCCCACTTGAGATATTTTGAAAGTGAAAAAATGCACAAACATCTCATGTCCATGATGTTTTTTCAAATGATATTTCTTTAAATATGAATATTTTCTAATATACTTGTACTCATTTGCATTAAAAACAAAGGGGAAGAAACATGAACTTATTGTTATTTATATAAGTAACTATGTTATGATTGTACTGGTCCGGCCCACTTGACATCTAATCAGGAATGTGGCCCATGAACCAAAATGAGTTTGACACCCCTGTTCTAGACCGCATGAACTCTGACCTCTGACCTCCACTGAGCCTCACGCAGCCCAACATCCACGCAGCCCATATCAGCTGCACACAGAGACGGTGTTGGTTCAGTGAGGTGACAGACCGGGCTTCAAACACAGACTCCACAGCTACGTGTTCACCCAACATGACACACACACACACACACACACTCTCTCTCTCTCTCTCTCTCTCTCTCTCGGTGTAAATCTCCATTGAAAGAAAGAAACATATGTTCTCTTCCAGGGGGGGGCAGAGAGCGGGGCGGGGGGCACATTAGACAACAAGCTCTTTTTTAGTGGAGGGCTGGGTGCTTTTTTTTTTTTCAGGGGGCAAAGTGAAACTCTATCTGGATGGTGAGAGGCTAATACGTGCCTTGGCCGCGGCTCAAATCAGACCGGAATATATATATATTTGACGTGTAAATATTTGTGTTCGACGTATAAACGTCCCCTGATAACGGGGACAGGAATTGATTTGCAGTGGAGTTCCACAGATTAGGTCTGGACCGTGACGTCCATGTTAGGATTACATCCCAAAAAAAAAAAAAAAAAAAAAAGTCTGCGCGGTGCAGGAAGTTTTGACTCTAACGGCTAAAAGTACTTCCAGGTACTGGTGTGTACTCGCAAGGCGGTATTGTACGTATCGCAATACAGAGGCAATTTATTGCGATATATTCTGCGATACTGTAGGCGGTATATTGAGTTTTTTAAGATAAGGTGTAGAAGTAAAAGAAAAAAATACGATCGTTTGGTCTCAAATACTTACAAATATGTGCAGTCCCTGTACCGTCCACTAGTGGCCGGGGGATAAAATGCAACACAAAAACAAACCAATGCTGCAAATACCTGCAGGTTGTTCGTTAATAAGAAAATCGATACAGTTCTGTAGAACGTCGATATGGTATCGTGTGACGTACGGTTGTTT